TTTCAATTGATAAAAATAGCTATATGAGGAATCATGATGTCATGTTGTGGCATTGTAGATTTAGACATGCCTCAACGAGTTACCTCAAGACACTACAAAAGAAATTCCCAGATAACAAAGAATTAAATGCAGTAAAATTTGATGATGAATTCATTAGAGATTGTGAGGTCTGCTTAACGTCTAAATTCAATAAATTATCATTCACGTCGGTGCGCAGGCGAGCAACAGCACCATTGCAAATAATTCACTCAGATGTGATGGGACCTATTACTCCAATTTCTCATCCTAAGGGATACAGATTTATTTCTGTGTTCATCGATGACTTCTCAAGATTCGCTATGGCTTATCCAATGAAGGCGAAAAGTGAAACAGGACATTGTCTTGAGATGTTCATTAGAAGCGCGCGTAATCTACTGGGTTATGACGCGAAAGTATGCTATCTTAGATCAGATCAGGGAACAGAGTATACAGGCGGGTATACAATTGAAGTTCTTAAGGGTCTAGGGGCGGAATTACAGTTAGCCTCCCCTGATACTCCAGAACACAACGGTGTCGCTGAGAGGTTTAATCAAACTATCCAGAAAAAGGTTAGGTGCTATATGTTTGACTCAAGACTGCCAAAGGGCATGTGGGATCTGGGCTTATCTGCTGCAGTTTATGCTTACAATAGGACTCCACATAAATCAAACAATATGATAACTCCTTTAGAAAGATTCGCGCCTAATCACAGCTTTGACATTAATCAAATCAAAAGATTCGGTAGCTTAAGTTACGTAAAAATTGCTAGAAACACTGGTCCAAAGTTTGGACCTCGAGGTGTAGGTATGGTCTTGGTTGGATATACTCCAACAGGGTATCAACTCTTAAAGCCAGAGCTAGGGAAGTATTATGAAAGCAGACATGTTAAATTCAATGAAAAATTAGTATATGGGGATAAATACAAGGGAAACGGTATCAAAGATTTCCCAGACTATGGAGAAATGGAGAATAAAGATGAATGGTTTGTTAAGTTCGAAAAGAATCGAGGAGAGACCGAGGATTCTTTAAAACCGGAGGGAGAGATAAAACGCAAAAGAGGTAGACCAAAGAAAGAAGTTTCAGAACAAAACACTATCAAGAAAGTGAAAACAGTTGACATAAAAGATAAAATAATAAATGATAATAGCTTTTCAGAGTTGGAAATTGATGAGAACATGAAAGGAAATGTTTTCTTCACTAGTGTTATCAGTAATGTAGGCGAGATAGATTTAGCACAAAAGGAAGATGAAGTGTATCATGCACTTTTAGCAAACATAAATGAAGATCCCTCAAATTATCGAGAAGCTATAAACAGTAAAAATAAAGATTCTTGGTTAAATGCTGTTGATGAAGAATTAAACTCGTTAGAAAGAAATCAAGTATGGAAAATTGTCAAAAGACCTCTAAGTATGATGAATGGAAAAAGATTAAATGTCATTGATTCAAAATGGGTTTTTAAGTGTAAAAATGAGGCAAATGGAAAAATAAGATTCAAAGCGAGACTAGTAATCAGAGGTTTCAAGGATAAGAACATTTATGAATTAAGGGAAACTTATGCTCCAGTAGCTCGTTTACCTCTAGTGAGAATAGTTATATCGATTATAAACAAATATAATCTAGAGGTGTGTCAGTTAGATGTTAAAACTGCTTTCCTCAATGGGGTAATAGATGAGGAAATGTATATGGAAATTCCAGAAGGAACTAATCATACTGACAGAGATAGGCAAGAAAATGTGTGCAAATTGGAAAAAGCACTTTATGGTCTTCGTATCAGTCCCAAACGGTGGAATGTAAAATTCACCGAAGTAGCTTTGAGTATGGGTTTGCAGAACTCGGATTTAGAACCTTGCTTATTCACTTGGCGAGATGAAGACAAGTTCTTGCTTTTGCTACTTTATGTAGATGATATGTTATTGGCGAGTAATGATAACGATAAATTGGCTGAAGTAAAGAGTAACTTATGTAGCGAATTTGAAATGACAGTCCTGGGAGAACCCAAGGAATTCTTAAGCATGACTATTAGGCGGGACAGAGAAAATCAGATTATCAAATTAAATCAGGAAAATTATATTCAAAAGATATTAAGTAGGTTTGGCTTTGATAAATCATATCCACAACGTACACCAATGAATACTTCTCAAGTAGTTAATAATGAGAGAAAATTGAGAGAAACAGAATATGATAATGGGACTTTGGAAAGGACAGAAACAAAAGCAAACATTCCTTATAGAGAGGCTGTAGGTAGTCTTTTGTATTTGGCTGGTGCTACGAGACCAGATATTGCATATGCGGTCAATGTGATAAGCAGACATCAGGTAAACCCTAAAGAAAGTGACTGGGAAATGGTAAAAAGAATTTTCCGGTATTTGAGAGGTACTACGGGCTTAGGTCTGAGATATTCGGGAGAGACCAATGACATTCAGGGTTATTCTGATGCGAGTTTTTCCGATTGTAAAGATTCTATCACAACTTGTGGATTTGTGATTAGACTGTTTGGTGATTCGATCATTTGGCGAACTCACAAACAAACTACAGTAGCACTCTCCACGTGTGAAGCTGAGTATGTCGCAATGAGCGAGGCGAGTCGAGAAATGATGTCGTTGCACAACTCTTTGAAACTGATACTGGTTGATCCCCCCGTTCCAATGATCTTAAGGTGTGATAATAAAGCTGCAATTGTTAGTGCAGAAACAAGTGGAGGAATGAAATTAAGACACATTGTAGAAAACAAGTTACATTATATAAAGGAATTTGTTAAAAGGAATCATATAAAAATCATTTGGATTGGCTCAAGGGATCAGCTAGCTGATGTTTTCACCAAACCATTGACGTTTGAAACACACAAGCGTTTGATGGATCTAATAATGAACGTAAATATCTAAATTATTTCTTTCTGTTTATCTAGGAAGTAACTGATTAGGCGAGATGGAAACTGAGGAGTTAAACCAACTGAAATTACCTGACAAGAATACTGAGACGAGATAAAGTTACCAAAAATAAGAATAAGAAATTTTGTGATTAACAAGAATAGAATACTAGGAGAGAAAAGAATACTAGGAGAGAAGAAGACTGGAGAGGAAAAGAGGATACTGCCTATGGCGGGAGGGAGTGTTGGAATATAGCGCCCTACGCCAGTCTCCCTCTTTACCGACAGTGTGGCAGACTGCGTCGCCACGGCGGCGTTGCGCCTCTCAAAGATATACTCGTACTATGCACCACTTGTGCCTCGACCGTTGTCGCATTACGTTGCTGAATAAAGCTTAATTACTTTTACCATAATAAAACTGTGTTTAATCGTTATTTCAATCCTAAATAACCCTTCAACTTCAAATTCGTTTTTTTGGCAGAAGATGAAACGCTAGATCAAAAAAATTTTTTTTTAACAATTCCGGATTTTTTATTTAAAAATCCTATGTTTCAATTTCTCAGCGAACATTACACATGTATAATGTCGTCAAAATGAAATCGTACAGTAAAATTGAATTGCCGATCCCCCTTCCTAATTTAGTTTGAGGATTAGAAAATTAGGACAAATTTGCTTTCATGTCCCTGATATGTGAAATTCTGAAGCCAAATAATCAATCGATAATTGGTGCAATTGGCCACGTATGAAATATCTGTATAAGTATATATATATAGTTTTTTTTTTTTGCAGAATCTACCAGTTACAAAAATCGTTGACGAGTTAGTTGAGTCAAGACAAAGTTCACATACCGAAGATTATTACTACCTTGATCCAAAGCAGCTGAAGCAAGTGGAGCAAATGCCCAAAAATCGGACGACATTCCAGGACGTAATAGTATTTGTCATTGGTGGTGGAAATTACATTGAGTACCAAAATCTTGTCGATTATGTCAGGGTAATTACTTAATAACAATACTATTTTATTCTGTATAGATTCATTCAAAATAGAGCGATAAAATCGAACAGTATTAGAACTTTCATGGAATTATTATTCTCACTTTTTCAATAACTATTTGCATATTTCTATGTGCAGCAAAAAACTGGAGGTGGTACCAATAAACGGGTTATTTACGGTTCAACGACCCTGGTGAATGCCAGACAATTCCTCAAGCAGCTCTCGTACCTCGGTCAGGAAGCACATTGATCAGGGTCTTTCAGAAAACATTAAGGAAATGTTCTGGTAGTCGACGAAGAGGCAAAATGGACACTTTAACATTCATTTTACTAATAATCCTTATTCAAACGCTGATGAAATGAAATAATTTTTGTTTTCTTTGGAGAGTACACTTCTTTCTCTTTGTCATGAACCCAAACTTCTTAACTAATCAATTTATCCCTTAATTATGAGTATTAAAAAAATACTAGTGTCCATTTAACCTTCCTTTCTCTATATTAGTAGGGAAGTTATACGATATCAACTCAACCATAAATCCACTGAGTTGACGATGACTACTGCTGAATCTAAGGAAGAGAATGAATTGTTAGTAAAATCGTTACTGTAAAGTAAAATGAAATCTGCAGTCTTCACTTGATACAATACGTGAATCCAGTTTCGAAATTTTCCGCATTTTTTTTTTCTATTCTCTGAATTATTTATGTTTTACAATGCTATTTTTCTATTAGATGGGGAAATGAGAAATAATTGCCCACTTCAATGATTTGAAAATAACTGAAAGCTATATTAAAAACATGATTGTCGATCGTAAATTTCCTGAAATTTCCGAACATGATTTTGATTTTTCTGCTACATGTCATTTTTATATGTGACATTTAAAAATCGAAAATAAAATGTTAATTTTACTCTGTTCTCATTTTTTCTTATTTAACCTATTATTGTTACCGAAAAATTGAAATATTTGTAACCAACAGTGGTGGCTGTGTGATTAGAGGGTGGGATTGGCCTGCGGAAGACACGGGTTCGATTCCAAGTTGGATGCCTTGGGGAATGAGCCCGTTTTTGGAACCACTAGAGAATTCTTTATCGGCTACACGTGGTCACGATGACCAGTGCTCATTCAATCTACGCTCCACGTCGATTTTATTAATTGTTTGAACAATTCCTCGGGGAATGACCAGGTTTCAGGGACCGCAGAATAATACTTTATAGAGTCCATGTCGCCACGATGATCACTGGTCGACGAATCCACGCATCCTAGGCGTTTTCTTCAATTTTTTGAATAATTCCCAGGAGAATGAGCAGATTTTTGCGACCATCGAACAATCTTTTATCGATTCATGTGGCCACGATGACCACTGATCATTTAATTCACGCACCGAGTCGATTTTATTATTTTTTGGAACAAGTCATCAGTGAATGAGTGGGTTTTTGCGACCACTGAATAAAATTTCATTGAATCCACGTAGTCACGGTGACCCCACTGGTCATTGAATCTACACTCGAAGTCGATTTAATTAATTATTTGAGTAATTCCTCACTGAATGATCGGATTTTTGGGCACGCAGTATAATATTTCATTGATTCTATAAGACCACGATGACCACTGGTCATTTCATACACGCACCAAGTCGGTTTTATCAATTTCTTGAGAAATTCCGCGGAGAATGAGTGTTTTTGCGACCGCCGAATAATACTTGAGTGTAGATTCAATGACCAGTGGGGTCACCGTGACTACGTGGATTCAATGAAGTTTTATTCAGTGGTCGCAAAAACCCACTCATTCACTGAGGACTTGTTCCAAAAAATAATAAAACCGAGTCAGTGCGTGAATTAAATGTCCAGTGGTCATCGTGGCCACATGGATTCAATAAAGTTTTATTCAGCAGCCTCAAAAACCCACTCATTACCCGAGGAATTGTTGAAAAAATAATAAAACCGACTCGGTGCATGAATTAAATGGTCATCGTGACCGCGTAGATTCGATAAAGTATTCTTCGGCGGCCTCAAAAATCCACTCATTCCCCGAGGAATTGTTCAAAATATGAAACCGATTCGGTGCGTGAATTTAATGACTAGTGGTCATCGTAACCATGTCTATTCAATAAGGGATTGTTCGGTGGTCGCGAAATATTTGCTCATTCCCCGTGGAATTGTTCAGAAAAATAATAAAACCGACTGGGCGCGTGAATTTAATGACCAGTGGTCATCATGACCACATGGATTCGATAAAGCATTATTCGTGGGTCCTATAAACACGCCCATTCCCCGAGGAATTGTTCAAACAATCAATAAAATCGACGTGGAGCGTAGATTGAATGAGCAGTGGTCATCGTGACCACGTGTATTTGATGAAGAATTCTCTCGCGGTTTTGGAACCGCGAGAGAATTATTAAAAAACTAGCGCCGCCCATTTATTATGCCGCTAGCGATGCCCATTTATTATGCCTTTGCTTTTTTGGTTTCTTTCGAAAATTAATGATTCATCGTCGTTTTAGTCTATTGAGTGTTAAAGTTAATGAAAACAATGCGTCTCGGTTCGTTGCATGTTCAATTTCAATATTTCTGTAAGTGATCTACTAATTCTGAGTTTCCGTCCTCACTCAGTGAAGTTTTAATTACTATTGTAATCAAAATTATATTCAGAGTCCAAAACAACAATTATCAAATTTCTTACAGTCCATAATTTTTTTGTCTTCGAGTCCTTCCTTATTTCCGTTTACAACTTGATAAAAGTATATAATTATTTTTCTAGAAAAATTATGGGGTCAATTCTGATGTTCTTTCGCTAATTCGAAGTGTTTTCTCTGCATTCATGATCTTTTTCACAATTCTATTCGACGATGTCATGAACTTGAAACTTTGATGAATCATCTGAAATTTTCCAAATTTTGTATAAACTTTCGAAATTTATATAAATTTTTTTCAAGAAACTTGAAAATTTTGTGGAATTGTGGAGAAAATCCGAGGAATTTCCAAATTATTTCCTCCCTTCTCATTTCAATTAATCAGAGTGCAGTATTCGGGCTCACATGACTTCAAATCAGTTTTATTTGCAAAATACCGCCCTTTCCTGTCAATTGTTTTCCCATTATTTATTCAACAATCCTCGAATATTTGAGAGATATTGGAAATGCTTTGTAATTTTGAAAAACTCCATGGATTGTCTCTAAGTTCTTCAGAAAAACTCATAATTGTCTTGAATTTTTGGAATACTCGCGAATGATCTTATATTTGGAAAAAAAATTGACACTTCTCTGATTCTTTTGGAAACCTGCAACCTTCCTCGAAGTTTCTATAATTAATTCACCCCCCTAGAGATGGATTTTGTAACGAAGCTGAAACACGTATTCATTCATTTCCAACAATCTCTTGATGAGTGCTCACATAAAAGATAAAATCTGCTCTAAAATTTTCATATCATTAGTTTCAATAGTTTCGACTTTAGATTATTATCTTAGTCAAGTTGAAGGGCTCTCTTTCCATATTTATAACATAATTTCGGCTGCAATGTTCATTATGCCTTTTTTCCCGTCGCACTCAGAATTTCTTTCCTCCATTCATTGTTCATAATCATTCTCATTGCAAAAAGCAGTGCGACTGATGAAAATGATGTGCCTCAATTTATTAACTATGAAATATTGATATTGCAATGAATAACCTCCGCATATGCTAATTCCTCTGCTCACTGAATTTAATTTCAATCATAATTATAATCCAATTTCTACTCGAACATAATTCGAAGAGTAAATTGCCGAAATTCAATGTTTGGTGAAACTATGGTGTTCGATGCCGGATCTGATTTTTCCGGAATTTACGAGCGATGGGCGAGATTTACCGTCAGTGTGGGGGTTATGGAACATGTGGGGGTACTGGAACACTTTGAAGCATTTATTAAGAAAATAAAGTCCCAACCGTGTTAAAACTATAGGGAATTCCGTCTCGATGGTAGGATGGTCTCTTATCTTTCCCTAAGATTAGGTTTGGTCGAGGTGAGTCAATGAAAACCATTTTAAATAAATCCGTTAAAAGTGGCGAGCGAGTGACTCCCTCTCGTATGTGTGAATTGAGTTGGGTTTCACTCGCGTGGCAAGTGCATCGCCGTGTTCAATGAGACTTTTCTCCCAAAATGTAAGTATTTGGTGAATTAAAAAGTGTTTGTAGTGACATTAGAGGAATTATTCTTGATGATTCAATAGAAAAAAATTAGAAAAATGATTAATTCAATTGAAGAGAATGAGGTTCCGTTATTGAGACACCACAACACGGTCTTGAGGCAGTTAGCGAACCCCCCGCCTGTCAAAAAACTAACCTCTCATAAATTCTCTTCGAACGTCTCTTGAAATATTTGTTCTTCTCATTACATTCCTTTGTTGGAATAAAGTATTTATATCAACTTCCAAGCCTAGAGAAATCTATAACCTCATATGAATCTCCCTCTCCCTGTTCCACAACTGGTACCTTTGAGGGTTCCATAAGGGGGACATTTTGTTTTCAGGGGTTCCATAAGTGAAGCATTTGCCGGGCGTCACCTTTTCTTGAATATTAATTAATCTATTGACCCCATAAATATGAAAAAATGTTTCAATTGAAGGAGAGATATTGTTTTAGCTGTTGCAAAAGTTAAAATCCTAAAATTATAGATAAAATCATGTATCACAGCGTTCACCGTGGATTCTACTCCATAACCCCCACACTGACGGTAAATGGATTTTAACGGGAGCGGGAGAAGGTCCACATATCACCACCCGTGCACGTTGGTCAAGTCAGTCAATTTAATTTGAATAAAATGTCAATATTTACACTGTGGTAATTTAATTAATTGAGATGTTCAAAACAAATAGCGCGGGTCACAATATTTAGTTAATTGCAGTTCACAGAATTTAAATAACGCAGAGCAATTAGTTCGTGGAACTTCAACAAAATAACGTATTCCCGGAAAAGCAATGTATACTGTACGATGGCCGATATGCAAATGAGGTTTATTAATAGGCCACGAGGTGGCAGGTCGCAGAAATCAAAAGTGTGAACGCGCCCCAAATAGCAAATGGGGGCGTTCACTGGACACCTGTCCATCATGTGGCGCCTCAGGTGCCAGAGGTGAGAGGCCACTGGTCATTTGAGGCGATTGCGCAGATCAGTTGTGCGAAGCCATGCAAGCATGCGATCAGAGCGAGCGTGCGTGAGTACGTCTTTGTGTGTGTGTGGAAAAAATAAGTCGGTGGAAAACCGAACATCTGGTAAAAGTGCATGCCAACACCGTGATACAATTTTTCAATCAGTTCACTCGGTAAATTCAATTAATCTATTGTTCATATCATCAACATAATTCCGTATTTAGAATATTATCACCTCTTGTTTTCAGCACCAAATTGAAATTTAAAACGTAAAACGACAATTTGACTTCTGCTCGTTTCTTTTTTGTGAATCTGAAATTCATGTTAATGTTTCAGATATTATGAAAATATCATCATTCCTGTTCTCTACTCTTATGGAATATTGAGTCACAGCTGTTCATTCATAACTGAATTTTTGTATTCCTATATTATTATTATTCTTTGTTCAACGTGAAAAAATCTATCATTTTCACTATAGTGCTTTCAGATTCTTCTGCACTTCATCTAAAAAATGTCATATATAAACTCATAATTCTAGTTATTGTTTCCAATCAACTTTGTTTGGAGAAAACCTTAGATGCAACATTAAGAAAGTTGAATCATTCTATTCCCCCCGACCTAAATGATTAGAACAATTATAATTGGTTTATCAATCGAAAATACAGAGTAAGTAATTAGGTGCATATAATTCACGTTTTAAGTGAAAATTCAAGCAACTTTTTATTTTCACATTGCGACGAAGGGATTCGTATTTTCCTCGATTGGACGTGTATGGAGAAAATATATAATTTAATC